AGGATGTTCAAGGGTTAGGATGAAGCCTTCGCCTTCGGCGGGGGAGGTGGAGGGGGCCCTGTGAGGGGGGCGCGGGAGAAGGCGAGGGGGCAGCAGGCGTCAGGGGAAGTGCTGAGCTCAGGGGAAGGGAGCGTGTTTCACAACCAAGCTCTGGAGCAACCTGTCCTGAGAAGTGGTGGAATCGCCTTCTTAGGAGAGTTTCAAACGCCCCCAGGGTGAAGCCTTGAGCAGCACGGTCTGGCTTAGAAGCTGCCCTGGCCCATGGTGAGAGGTTGGATGAGGTGACTTGTAGAGGCACCGTCAACCCTAAACCTCCTCTGACCCCCCAACATCCCCATGCTGACCTGGTGCTCTCTGCATGATAACCCGAGGCTGTGTTAGCCCCATGTCGCCGGATGGCCGTACCAGGTCACTGGTATTTTGTGTAGTCAAACATCTAGGTCCTGATGCTGCAGGAGCACTCCAGGCCCTTGGCACCACTCCTGTCTCCTCCCGTGTCTTCATGACCTCAGAAAAATCCTCCAAGTACTGTAGGTTTATGAAGGCAGCACCATACATACTGTCACTTTTGTGGTGGATGAGGGATGAGTATGATGATGCTTTTGTGAATCAGGAAAATATAAATCTGAGGGAGGTGGGAGAGCAGTATTGGCTGTAGCTTGTCCTGAACTGAAAGATGCCAGTTGTGTTATTGGTGTGAAAAACCTGTCTGAAGCAGGCTAGAGACATGCATTGCATGTGCGATAGCTTTCTCCTGTTTGTTTTCCCAAATACTACAGGGGCTCCTTAGATGAAGCTAACGAGCTGGGTGTTGGTAGCTGTGGGCTAGCATGTGTGGGACCGAACTGCAAGTTGTGTAAACACCTTTTGTAGAAGAGGTGTGAAAGCCTGCCTGTACTCTTCTCGAGTTGTGCTGAGCCTGGGACCTCAGGGCTGGCACAGTGTCTCCAGCCATGCTGGGTATCCGGGGTCTCCTGCCGTTTGCAGCACATGGCCATGGGTGCCATGGCTTCTGGGGCTCCTGATAAATTGTTCCCAGGCTTGGTTGGTCGAGCTTGGTGGTAGTGGGTGCCCTGACCTCATTCCCTCCTCTCACTGTGCTGGTAAGGAGTTTGCAGTCAGCACAAGAACTTTGCTCCAGGTTTTTAAAAGCCATGTTGAAACAGGTTTCCTCACAACTGCAGAAAGGTGAGGATGCTTTGCCTCGAGAGAAAGAAAGGAGCCATTTTCTGCGCATAACCCCGAGCTGCGCACCCGTGACGTAACTCCAGTTTAGGTGAGATCTGATGCAGATCGCTGTTACAAGCCGGCTTTTCAGTACTGCATTTTAAAAGCGTTGCGATTAAGAGCTTCACAGCCATACTCACTCCAGGAAATGTCCACAAGATGGGGCCCCTCTCCGTGATTGTCTTGAAGAAGACTTTTAGGGGGTTTAGCTCTAATTACAACAACCAACGCCTTTTTATGGTCCGTGTGAAATCCTGCAATAAAGGTGAGAGAAACTGTGAGAGGAAACCTCGTTCCCTACAAAGTGGGAAGCTGTAGCCAGCAAACCTTCTGAATGTTGTCTCAGTGTGCAGCAAGGCACTGCAGCCAGCCAGAGTATATGATAAAAGGTGGAGTGTCACCTCCTTTGGACTCTAGTTACTCAGAGGGAGCCCTGGTTGTGATACAATATTGTCACACCCTGCATCTTATTTTGTACTACCGAATGTTTATCAGTTTATCTCCTGTACATGGCGAAATCAGATTGCCTTGGGATATCATTAAAACTTGATAAGCCAATGAGTTGGAAGAAGCATGATTTGAACTGTACCCTGAGGGTATTCTGTTTATGCTTGCTCATCATGAGTAACATTTTTTTTCTCATATAAACAAATATAAATAGAGGTATACTGAGCTGCTTAAGGGAATTGTAACTGTGACAAACAGTATAAGGTCCAAAATGCTCAGTTAATCTCCTGCAGTTGTTATTTAAACTTGATTGGCCAAATAGTGCAAAATCACATTAAAATGAATCAGCAAACAATAGAGAGGGGATGTATTTTAGTCAACCCAAATATGTATTACTGAAGAAGTAGCATTCAAAGAATAGCAGCTAGTAGATCTGAACTGCCATCCAAGCACTGCTAGCGTTCATTAAAGGCAGGAGAAGCCTCTGCTATAGTTTGAACTATTGTGGAGACTGTTTTTTCCAGTTTTGTGTCTGGCACTCCTATCACTTGAGGATCAGAGTTCACTGGATGAGGAAACAGGGAGCTGCCTCTTTGATGACATGCCATAGAGGAAGCAGGAAAAGGGCTGATGAGGTGTTTCTGAGCAATGGGAAGAATAAGCAGAGGGATGAAGGAGGAGGCACAGAAATCATTCAGCCTAGAGCTGTTTTCAGACTTTTAACCTATTGCTGTGTTAATGGTGTAGCCCCAGGCTCACCACTGTGGGTGGGAGAACAGCACAGATGCTGTCGTGCTATGGCCCCAATATTAGAAGTTCACAGGTCAGACTGCCTAAACTGGATCTTACCAAAACTGTTTTGCTATTTGGCTTTATTTTTACAGAGGGGTCTTATGTGATAGCCTAGATCTTGAAGCTGGGAAGGGTAAATCAAGGCAATGAAAATGCTAGATCTGGGCTGTAAATATGTCATGTGTGGGCTTGATAAAATGTGACAAAGTGTCTAAAACTGTGAGACTGTAAAGTATAGTGAGTATTTTTTTTTTTTTAAAAAGGCAAGGCATGCAGCATTTTAAAGTCATAATGAAATTCACACTTCATAAAGCTTTCAAAGAAAAGTCAAACGAGATGGCAATGCAGCTGATTTCTTAGGTGGAGCTCAGACGTGAGTAGTTGATATGTTAAAATTCTTCATGTGTCAGAGCTGCGACAAGTTTAAACTGTATTTCATTTGAAGTTTCACAAATGCAAAGAACTGGTCTAAATTACAAATACAACCAGATTCCCCAACTAACAACCTTTTCTCATTAAATGTATAGTGACTGAATTACATACAGGTGTAAATTAGTATTCAATTAATAAGCAACTTAAAAAATCCTAGGTTCCTGCAATTGTTATTTAAATGTATTTTAGCTGTGCAGGGAGAAAAAAAGTGTTTTGCTCATGGTCTGCTCAACAGCTCTATTTGTTAATCCCCTCAGTGAACTGTTCTTACCTACTTTTGAAAATCTGCATCTGTTCAGTTTAATTAGTAATTTTTACCAGCATTCACTCAGTTCAGAGAAATGCTATGTTGTGAATGTTGGCATGTTTGTAGAGATAGCCTCAGCAGATGATTTACCCCTTTTTGTGAATAATTCATAAATACCCTTCAAGTCATTATGTGTTTTTTTTTAAAAAAATATTGATGCAGCATGTTGTTTATTAAACTTTGGCAATATTATTATTTGTGTTTAAACGCAGTTTGTGTTTTAACATGTAGTTTAAAACAGATTTATTTTAAAAGAAACAAGTCTCACTTAAATAGAAATACATTTTTGTTGGTTTACTGCTCAGATGAATTGCCTGTGAAGGAAAACAGTCAGCAAGCACAGTGGTAGGAGAGTTGTTCTGAGTCTGGTCAGTTATACTGAGTGTGTTTGAAGTCTCATGCCTTTGCTTTGCCTGAGATTTGGAAAAGGTACTTCTGCCTCATTGTAATGCTGGCAAAGCTGCAGTCTAACTGACAAGTTAAACTCCAGCTGCATCTTTTGGAGATTATGTGGTGCTTGATTGCAGAAGATGAGGAGATGAGCTTTGTTCAAAAAAGGCACTGTTGAGAGACATCCTTAAAGGGGGCTGGTTCTAGGTGCTGGGAACCTCTCCATGTATCACCCAAAGCATATTGTCCTGTGAAAAAAGCATAACTGACATACAGAAGCAGGATTTGAGGTAATTTGTTTTGTTGTTCACTCTGTTTTCTTGATTTATTTTTACCATTTAAGTGTTGCACACATTTGTGGCAGAGAAATTGGTGAGGGGAGGGAGTATTGGAAGTGTATTAAAGGTCTTATTTGACATCTGTTTGAATTAGTTAGAAAATCTAGAAGGGGATAAATGGTTAAGATATATTCCTAACAAAAAATAGTTAAGCATTAATTTTTATTGCCAGCATGATGCATTTCACTTTATTAAGGGAACCAGCCAGACCAAAGAATATTGTTCCAGTGCATGCTCTTGTTAATAAGCAAACCGTGTCATTTTGATTGGTTAAGAGTGGCAACCAGAGCTAGGTTAAACAGCTTCTCAGGTGAGAGTAGAAAAAAAGCTCTGTGTATGACCACCTGATGCTTGGTGAAGGGGGAAGAAGAGGGGGCACCAAAAGTTAGTTGGGTTTAAAAAGGTGAGACAGTGGCCCATCTCCAGTTCAGAGGAGCAAGAAATTAAACTGAGCTTGAGGGATTCTTCTGAGAAGACCTTTCAGGCCATAAACTCTTCAGAAACCTTTCTTCACCACAGGAGAGGATATGTTATATGCACGACACTGGTGTACGTCTCTCTATTCCCCTGACCACTCTCAGTTCAGATTACATAGTGTGCAACTCTCAGAGAAAACTCCCTGATGATTTACCTTCTTTGAGTTGATTTATTGGAACTTTTAGAGATGCCAGTTAATGATGGGTTCCCTGGGAAAGGGCTGTATGCAGCAGGGGTTACAAGGGGCCAGCAAAGTGCATGTAGGCAGGAGCAGGAGCCTTGGATTCCCCATGGAGGAAGGGAAAGGAGAGACACACAATGAAAACGTGAAGGGAAAAAGTAATCAGAAAAGGGCATGCTGACAGTGGGGTCTCACAGGAGTAACAGCAAGAGGTTACAGGTGCCAGCCCGTGAGGAGCAGCTGCGAGGCCATGAGGGGAGTTGTTATGAAGTGCAGCATGTGGGGACATCACATAGAAATGTAGTTATCACATGCTGGATTGCTTCAGGCACAAAGCTAGAAATAGTGGACTGACCCAAGCCGCCCTTCTGGCCTTACTGCACTCCTGGGTTATGCTGACTGACCTGAAATTCATGATATTTATGAAACCAGAGAGGGCTGGTGTCAAGAGCCTGTTTACTGTAAACACCTGAAGCTTTCACTTATAACCTTGCAGTATCAAGGTGTTACTAGGTGTCTGAAGGGGACTGTGGGAATTGCATGAGGATTATGACCCATAATTGCAGTCGTGACTGCAAAAAAATTATATTACTTGTCCTTTTTGCTTTCCTGCAGATTCCTAGATGGCTAATGAATCAAGGCCCTGCCCATGTGATATCGGAGACAGGTTTGACTGTGAGGGTTGTGGGCAGGAAGTACAAGTGGAGCACATCAAGGCGTATATTTGCAAAGCTGCTGCCAGCACAGACAAAGCTGTGATTGTGATTCATGATATATTTGGATGGCAACTCCCAAACACCAGATATACATGGCTGATATGCTTGCTGCTAATGGATACATGTAAAAAAATCTTTTCTTCTCCAAGAAATCCTGCTCTTTAGTATTTCCAGCCTTATGTTAGAACTATTATTCCTGTACAAAAGAGGAAACTATTACCAGGTCAGTTTGAGGGATGTATTTCCATAGTACAAAACCACAAAGGAACATTGTTGTGAAATGTTGGAGAGTACAGCATGCTTCCTTCATACTTTGCTGTTTATAGAAGAGGTGACTGCACACACAGAACGTGTAGAATATTGAAAACACAATGCAGTAAAAATGCTTCTGATAATTTTCCCAGCAATGTGACGTGGCTTTAAAAAATAGTGTGTTCTGAAACAGATGTGTGTATTCTGTTTTCAGAAGTATTTTTAAAATCATTAAGCTAAATTATATGATTGGATTTTTAAAAATTGTCACAGAAATTATTGAATGTCATATTTTGAATATGCACATTGAGTATGCACATTGAATATGTACATATGAATGACTCACATGCACACATGAGGTATTAAATACAATCCCCATCCCACCTGCAAATCTTTCATACTCATTTTCAGTGCCCTACAGCAGTTAAATTCCAAAATGCAGCAACATCTTGCAACAACTGGATATGCTACAAAGTACTCCATTTGCAGTATACATTACAAACATTTCATCATATAGGATGGGAACTGGCCTGCATTTCAAGAAAAGCAAACCTCCACCTAATTCTGAGACTCTCTAGTTTTGAGAGGTGGTGCCTTTATTGCTCCTAGCCTACAGACCATGAGGGGAGTCAGATGTCAGCAGACAGTTGTCATGTGGCTGAGATCTGTCTGTGGAGCTGAAAGGAGCTCTGTGTCTCTGCCAGATAAAGATACTACCTCTGTGAGGACTGGGGTTTTCTTGTATGCTGGAACAGTGAATTGGTTCTTGATACTTGCTACTGTCTTTCCTGAGAATTTGATATCCCCCCCTTTTGCTCCATGATTGGAAGTATATTTGCCTTGTGATGAAATGCAATCCCTCTGAACATGAGACTGGGACCTACACCTTTCATACTGTGCAGGATACTGGCAAATCACTAGTATGACAGTGTGCTTCCTTATTCTACTCAGACAAAAGTACCCAGTGTTTGGTGAATTGGTATTTCTCCACACTACCTTACTTCCTATAATTTTCCCCGTGATTCCATGTCATACTTATTTTTGTAATACTTTCTTTCCCTCCTCCTGTACTGCTAATACTGCAGTGGTCAAGGGGAGCAGGCTGGAGGCTCTAGGCAGGAGGAGAGCTGAGAGTTTTCAGACAGCAGTGTCTGAATGAAGAGAATCCATCTGTGTCTTCCCTGATTGCTTCAAGATGCTGCTGAGCTGGTGCACTGATGTTTTTTGAGAGGAAAATAGCTGGATTTTTTCCTAGTGCAGTGTGGGATGAGGAGCTATGGGAGCTGTATTTCAGCGACCATGTTAAGACTGATGGCTTGTAATGTCTTATCAGGCTAGTTTGAGTGGGGAAGAACCTGTTCTGTGTGGGCTTGGAAAGGTTCACTGTCAAAGCAATACACAGCTTTTCTGACAGGTACTTACCCAAAGGCTGTGTGATTTTGCCCATACCTTCCCAAACACAAGTGTGCTGTGGATGTAACTTTTTTTAACAGAAATGATCAAACACAGTGGAAAAAACCCCTCTTGCAACATACTTTGGCCTGCTTTAGGCCAAACTGATCTAGTCATTTCACCACGATCATTAAGATACATAGGGTGTGTCTGAGGAGGGAGAGAGCCAAAGGCATTTAATAAGTGAAAGGTGATTGCAGGTTCCCAGGGATCACATTGCTTCCTTTTGGGCTGTGCTTGGGAGAAGACACAGCGACATCTGGGAGTGACCTAGTGATGGCAGCCTCTAGAGTCCCTGCTTGTTTCCTTCTGCATGAAGAGATTCTATTATCCACTAGTGACTACACTGTTACAACTTTGCTCTGGTCATGCAACACATTTCAGCCGAGGTCATCCCAAGCCAGGGTTTGGGCACTCTCGTGGTGCAGGAACTCTTTAGTACTGAGTGGACTCTTACTGTACTTCCCCCTTTCCAGTCACCAAATGATGTCTGGAGTAAAGCAGTTCCCCCTTTCTTCTCACACATTTTCCCTTCACTTCTTTGCTGACCTCAGTCCATCAGGTGTTGTTTTTTTTCCCTAGCTCATAAGTAGGACTCATGATGTGCTCTGTAGCAGTAAATAACTATTTTTATGTAGTCGTCTATGTTTAAATGGAACCCATTAATGATGGATTTATGTTAAATGGTATTAAGTTGTATGCAAAATCTAAAATTGTTGTAATGAATACTTGGTTTGATCGTCTTTTACAAGATAATCTGTTTTACTGTGTATAGTTTAAAATTGTGTACTCAAAACAGGTAAAATAGTAGGGAGAAAAATATTCATTTGTATCACAATTTGTATTATGTGGTTCAGTCATTGAAAAAAGCCTATGTAGAAAAAAACCCTATAAATGAAAACATAAAGGTCATAGGCATTTCTGTAGAATAGTTAACAATGATATCTAAAACCATTACTTTCTCAGGAAAAAGAAATCAAAACAAAACTATTCCTGGATAGAAACTTTCCATGCTATGAAGGGCCAAAAAAAATTCCCAGTGTTTGATTAATTCATTCAGTTTTGATTTTTTTGTGTCTGTCTGTGTGTGCAGAGCCATCTGCCCAAGACTTTTTTTCAGGAGGAGAAGCTTGGAAGCCTTCCGATGACTGGTCCGAGTTCAATGATTGGCTGAAAACTCGAGATGCTAGGAAAATAAACAAGTAAGGTACCAGGGAGCTGGATATCACATTGCCACCTGCTGTCAGATACTGCCTTTTTTTTTGTTGTTGTTTTGTTGTTGTTTTGTTTTGTTTTGTTTTGTTTTGTTTGAGATTGGATGCAACTATTCTACCAGTGAAGGTGGCCCTTTTTATAACTACTCCTTAGAAGTGGATGGAATCAGTGAGCTTTTATTTTGTCTTGTACAGAGTTTGAGTAAAACTTTCAGCAGTGGCTTAGTGAAGAGTTCTGTCATCTGATGTTAATAACATAGAGTGCTTCTTGCTTCCTCTGCCTCAAAAAGCATGGTTTAAAAATGACCAGTGACACAAGCAGTAAGAAAGCATAATTCTCAACTTGAGTCTCACCAAATGGAACAGACTGATACTTAAGAGGTTGTACGGAAAGAACAAAAGAGGTTTTGATTGTGCTGTAGTACTTGCCCAGAATGGTGTGCCTGGCCCCAGGTAGCTGGTGGCTGGATCATCTCTTGTCAGGGCGCAGTGAGGGCTGGCGGCTCCCTGGGGGACAGGGTGCTGGCAGCCAAGGGGAGTATCGTGTTTTCCCCTCCCCTGTGCAACACCGCCTGAGCATTTGTCAGCAAAGACCTGTCACTAGCAGAGGTGCTGTGCTGCCTTAGTAACACACAAGGAAGCTGTTGGCAAGACAATACTGAGAAGGGGTAAGACTAATTAGAGACCAAACTAATTACATTCCTGAGAGAGCAAAATCTTTCTTGAAGGGTTGGGAGTAGCTATGTTGAAGGTTGATGGGCTTAGGTATTTGGTGAGAAGGTTATGGGAGACATAACTGAATCATTTCCAGAGGGCTCTGGTCTCAGAGGGGTCAGTTGTCGTGGAAACTTTTTAGGTTGGAATCTGTCCCCTCTCTGCTGCAACGGGAAGGAAGGCTTGGGCTCTGCCTGGCATTTCTTACAGGCGATTCACAGGTTTCAAATGTCAGCTCCAGTGAAGAAATAATTTTTTGGCACTTAATTTGCTTCTGTGTGTGTTTGTGTTGTTGATGGATAATATGGTATTTGCGAGATTGATGTATTGACAGCATATATAACTTGTGTGCCTCAGGGGATGAGGAACTGGGGTTGAAAATACAGTCTTGAGGTGGTTTAAAAGACTTAACTGCTATCTCTCTCCCACCAATATTTTCTCTTTACTGCCTCTCCATGGTGATAGCTGCTTCAGGGGTAAATGGGTGTTTTCAGGATACAGCATCTGGGTACGGTGTATTTCAAGCTACACTGTAAATTCCAAAAACATCTACTATGTTTGTTACATTGACATTCTTGCAGCAAATATCTCAGACTGTATCCTACAGTTACTGTCAGCATTTTGACTTTCTAATGAATAGTATTCTCTAGAGAGGCTTTTATTACTTTTTCTATCTAGATTTACAAAGCAAAAATTTATTCAGCTTCTCAGGGAACGTTTAGCTTTCTTAACTCTTTGGTAGATGTTTAATCAATTACCTACTTTCCATCCCTTTAGATTTCCTTCAATGTATGTTATTCATGTTGTGTTTTTATTTAATTCCATTCAGTTTTGTTTTTTTTTTTTCTCTTATGGTTTCAGATTAGAACTCCCTAATATGTGTCTGAAATAATGATTTATTTAAAGTATGTGAAAGAAAATATAATAACAACATGATGTAGGGACAATTATATGCATCTCTGTATTTTCATATTTTCACATACTGATTTTACTATGGGTGCTTAATTTGCATTTGCTTATATGTTCCAGAGAAGCTAATGCTGCGCTGAAATATCTAAAGGAACAGTGTGGTGCAAAGAAATTAGGAGTCGTCGTTTTTTGCTGGGGTGGTATTGCTGCACGTCACCTGATGATGACATATGCAGAATTCAGGGCTGGTGTATCTCTCTATGGTAGGTAAATACAAGGGTAAATACAAGCGGATACACATGCATATGTATATTGTGTAGCTTAAGTACTTGATATAGCATTATTTCTTCAAATCAAGCTGTTAGCTGATGAAGAAAGATACTTTCAGCAGAGTAGGAAGGATATTGTGCAAAGAAGATGGTGATGAGAGTATTTGTTCCTAGTTTCAGAATGTAGCAGCCATAGCAGCCATGTATTTATTTCAGGACTGGACAGACAGACATGTCCTTTGGTCACCTTCCCAATTTAGCTCCCTTTTCCTCTTACAACTACTCTGCATGCTGCAGAGCTAGAACGTCACTTGGGAGCAGAGAGTGTTATTTTTGTTCTAGCAACTCTGTAAAGTTAGATTGTGGTTATTTTAACACCAGCTTTCTTTTTATGCTCTGCTCAAGAAGCTGGAATAGCTAAGCTGCCCTGTGCTAATGTTCTCAGAATGTAAATTTTGGACTAAAGCATTGACTTTCCTACTCAGTTCGAAAGAACTCAAGCTTGTATGCACAGAAGGGATCTTTCAAGTCTTACTAATTCAGAAATTTAGTCTGTATCTTAAGAAACTGGCTTAAATAGAGTTTTAATCTAGGAAGATGTTCTTCTAGGAGCCATGGTTACAGTAGCTTGAAAGTAAAGCTTGTATGTATGGCTACATTTTGCATGAGACATGAACACTTTTCACTGCAGAGGCAGAAGGCTGTATTGGAATCTGGATTTCATCTTAAAAGTCCATTGAGGATTTTTTTTATTTGTTTAATATTTTCTAGGACTAATCAAGGATTCTGATGACATATCCAATCTTCTGAACCCACATTTTTAATTTTTGCTGAAAAAGATGGCTTCATTATCCTTCATCAAGTATGCTGAGAACCTCCACCTTCTTTCATTTCTGCATGTTTGATTTTCCATCCTGAATTGGGAGTCAAAATTCAGCCTCATAGTAGTGCTTGAAGGTCAAAAAATAAGCAGCAAAATTGAGCTAGACATAGAAGGGCTAATGTAACCTAGGCAAAGAATGAAAACTAGATTTTATTTTTTTTTCTTAAATCTCTTTTATAAAAGTATGGCTAGTAAACCAGCTAACAAAGTTTTATCAAAATCCCATTTTGGAGTGCTCTACTTAGGGAGCTATCCTTTGCTGTATGGTGCTGTTTGCTATTGGTCCTAGGAACCCATAAACCACGTAGGATAAGCCAAATTGCATCCATAGGTGTCTGTTAGAAGCTTTTTGTTCAGTTGTGGTGTATTTAGGATTGTCATTTATTTCACATATTTTGTTATATCCATATTTTTGCAGATTGTTGGACCTGCCTTAATATTTTAACAAATTTTCTAGACCCTTACTACAAAGGTGGTTCTTCTTTACATAATACTACTTTTTGTTTTGCCCATACGGGGCTTGGTTTTTAGTGTCTAGCCTGAATAATAAATTAGGGAGTTGAATTATGAATAAATTGAAGAGTGGCAGCATGGAATATGGCTTTATTAATACAGCTACTACTACACTCTATATTACAGGTCAACCTGCTGAAGCAGAAGCTGAAGAAAAACTGTAAAGTCGATTATGAAGTTAACATTTATCCTGGACAAACTCATGGTTTTGTACATAGCAGAAGAGAAGATATCAGTCCCCAAGATAAGCCTTATATTGAGGAAGGAAGAAAGGATATGATCAGGTGGCTGAATAAATACATTTAACAGAAGAGCAAGTAACTTAATTTGTAATAAAATTAGGTAATACACTGTGGAGGTTTTTGATAACACATTTTAGAAAATTGGAGGGAGAGTTTGTTGAAATAGAAATTGAAGAAATAAGCAAACAGAACATTTTAGATGTTTTTGTCAGTAGATTCTGATACTTTCATATTACATTCTTTTGAAGAAGTCTCAAATTTCACCTAGCAGTGTCATGTTTTAATATGCTGTGAAACATTCTCCAGTTCCTCGAGATTTATCTGAATGCTTGAAATAAGTTAGACTTATTTATTAGACTAAATTAATCTATTTGTGTATTATGGCACTGGTCATCTAAGTTCTACATAAATCACAAGCCCTAAATTTAGGTACACAAATACGCTGTTTGGTGAAGCTCATTTTGAGAGAATAGGCTTTTTTGACTTGTATCCTGGTGGCAGATGTGTATTTAACATGTGACTTAAGTGGGTCATATCTTGTTTTGAATTTTGTGGTTAAGATTATTCAGATGGGGTACTACTTTTTCAGGTTGTTTTTGGTTATGTGAAACTCTACAGATGATTTCCTGGTCGGTTTAGGAATTCGAAAGTACAATGCAGTCTGCAGACAGGGCATTTTGATGTGTGGTTTACAAACTATGCTTACTACTTAAAGAAATATTATATGTTTTTGCATAATGTACCTTGTTACATAATTTTTCCATCAACAATTACAACAAAAATCTCTGTGTTGCATCAGCTCAAGATTGCATCTGCCCCAGCACGCAGCCGCCGTCAGTGGCCAGAAGTGGCTACGGAAGGAATTTCCCCTCTCACTCTGCATCCTGACAGCCAGCCAGCCATTCAGGGGATTTCTGAGCTGGATGTGGCCACTGGAGCAGTTGTTGAATGGCCACTGATGGGCCGGACCTAGCCTCTGTGGGTTTGCCAGTCCCTTTTTGAACCTGATTGAAATGCTGACCTGAATCTTATGACAGTGACTCCCACAGTTTAATTATGCCTCGTGGGCAGAGTGGTCTTGTGTTCATTAGTTTGAAAGCAGCTGCCTTGTATCTTCACTGGGTGCTGATACTTCTAAAGTTGTAAGGAAAAAAAAAAAAAAAAAGAATGTATGGCTCTTTTCACCTTCTCAGTGCTATTGATAAAGACTTCTATGTGATTTAATGGGGAGAAAATGTAATTTAGGAAAGTCTTAATTTTACTAATTAATTTACTAAATTAAATACACTGTCAAGAAATACACATTGTAGTGTGTCTCATGTAAAAATAGCAAGAGTATTAATTAACCATCTCTCTCTCTCAATGGGATTTTAATGTCTTTTGCTTTTTCTCATCCATGTTTTCCTCCTTTATGTGCTGCTAATGGCCTTTCCGTGGAGAGGTCTTCAGAGAATTCTGGCCTGTGACTGCTGATTAACTGTTGCTTTTCATATGACACCATCTATATGTAATATATTAATCCAGCTGTTGCCTGGGTGATACAGCTATCATAACACATTTTTCTAGAAGAGTGTAGAGGTCTGGAATTTTATTGTACATTAATTACCCCACTGTAAAACCTGAGTAACTCCACGTTAATGGAGTTCCATTAGCATCAGATTAGTTGATGTGCTGCAAGAGGATGGTCAGGTCATATATTTAGAGAACAGCAGTCATTCATAAATACTGAAACGGCATGCGTGCTGTAACCCTAACGCCATGACTAAGCAAAAAGAAAAAAAGATGCAGCGTTTGTTCGAAGTGAAACGGTAGCTACGAGTTACTACAAGTACACTGTACCTTCATGATAAAACATAAGTCACTGAGTAAGCTGTAAATGTGCGATCCAGAAATATGTGTTTATAGTAAAAAGAGCAACCAACTGTGTATACAGAGTTCATGAATGTGTTGAATTAAGCTTTGCTTTCTAAGCAAAAAACCTGCATGGATTGCCTATCAAGAAACACTAAATGGCTTTTCTTTCCTGTTTTTTTATTTGTCAAGTTTAATGTTAATATTAAGGTAAAGGGGGATAGTCTTATATATAAAGAAGAATTTGCAAAGCCACATTACTGTGACTTAGGGAGTGGAAATGTGATTAATCAACTCCAGTGGAGACAAGGTTCTGCGGGTACTGCTGTCCTTTCTCTTTTCTAGGAATAACTTAAACTGCCAGTTTTTCTTGCATTTATTTTACTACTATTCTTTGAAGTTGCTATGGAGTATCTAAGCTCCCTGTGTGCTATAATTTGCTGTTTGTAGTATACAAGTGGGAAGAGCCAAAAAACCCAAACCAAACATTTTTGAACCTTGTAACTTCACTCTGTAATTCTTTGGTAGGCTTTTTAAAAATCGTTTGACTTTATTTTAGGAGTTGTAAATAAATAGTATTGACAAATTTATTTAGAATATGAGAGGACAGCTTATATAATGAGGACTAAATTGTAAGGCCAGTTGCCATCCCAAGGCAAAAGTGTGGTAGACTAACATGTGCATTCGGTGCTACCTTATAGATGTGCCTCAGAGGAAACAGTGAATTTCGGATTGCTAGTATTTTAAGAGAAAGCTTTTTAAAGAATAATCCTAATAATCCAATAAAAAGAAAATCCAGAGAATGGGAGGGATACAAGGATCAGGCAGTCACTTTGATTCAAAAGGAAAAAGAAGTGTAAAATGTCCTATCACAGGATAAAAATGTATCATTATTTTAAACACTTATAATGATATGTACAGCAATCTACAAAACTGTTACCTTTGTACATGTTAGTTATTTTCACTCTGAAAGAAGATATTTTACCTGTACTATATGTTTTGTCTTGTATAGAGCTTTGAAATGATGCTTCTACTACCTCATCCTGCTGATGACTTTAGATATTTCTTTCACTGATGGAGGAATAGTCTAAGGAAATAATAGTAATGCCAACATGGTGTTTAAAAGTGGTACTACCGCAATCTTTAAAAACAGAGGAACACCCTTTAAAAAAAAAAAAAAAAAAGGTTTGTCTAAATGAATTACTCAGATAAGTCAACATGTTTCCTAAGCTGAAAAGAAAACACCTCCAATGCTTAATACTATTTTGTGTAAGTTAAAAAGAAGGTTTGGTACTCCGTTATAGCAGTACTCGTCACAGTAGCACATGCTGCCTACACTAGTAATAAAATTAACAGCTTTAAAAAGAGTGAACTTTAAACTTTGTGACTCTGCAGTATACAAAGATCAAGGCAGTAACTTACGTAACTCTTATTTGAAGAAACCTGATCCTTCCACTCACCCCTTCCATTTTGTGAGTTAGCACTTTCTTTTGGGATCACATTCAGTGGTAACTGTCCTCACTGAGCTCTTGTGACTTGCCTCTACTATCTTGCACACTTGCTGTACTACAGGTATGTGTGGGTTTTGTTGGGGTTTTAAACTTTCATGGCTTTTCTTCCTGAAAAAAAGTAAAATAAATACATGCTGAGGTCTGACTCAGCATGTTCAGGGGGAGTTTCATTTTATCTATGTGCTTTTTTAGAGAGTGCATGCTGATTTAAATGCTATCAGGGTCTACTTTCTTCCCTAATTATTTAAAATGATGGTTCAAATCCCTTTTATTTTCCCTCCTGAGGTGAGGAAGACCTCTCAGGAAGAGGACTCAGCAGAGTCTGTTGGAAATCAGAGTCGCACAGCAATATCTTTATATTTTTCTGGTTGTAGGTTCAAGTTTATGAAAATTAAAATTATTGTTTGGTCTTCAAATAAATGCTCAGATGCTTGCAGGTGGAAATGGTGGAACACCAAGCCTGTGGGTTTACAGACCCCTTACAGAATAGATTTGATGCATGTAAGAGATGGGGATTAATTTTTAAGGAATGTTGCATTAGCATCTTAGAAAGGGAAAAAGATACTGTTTGTATGTAATGCATACTATTGTGAATATGGAAACATTGAATCATTTTGACTGAGCTACAAAACTTTAAAGTCTGTATGGTTTATAAACCATACAAGCCAATGTTACCCCTCACAGGCTTGTGTCTGGAGCTCTTTTCTGCATCTTTAAATATTTCATGTTTTACATATTGCTTTACATTTTATCAGGTAATGTGAAATGTTTGCAATTAAAGCCTTTAAGGATATAGTGACTGCTAAGGAAATTGTGTCTGTGTTTCTGGAATTCTGAAATGTATTTCTTCAATATTCAATTCCTGATTTTGTGGTATTTTCTGATTTTAGTCTAATCAAAATGAAATAGTTTGTGAATGGAAAATTAGTTATCCTGTTACATATTTAAACTGTATTTTGTCTTCTATGATCATCTATTAATTCATTTTTCCAGGTAGACTTATTTTAAATTACAAGTCCTATATGTGCGACTACAACTTGTGAAAAAAAAAAACCCACCTATGGGTGTGTGTGGCTTATCTAGAAAAAAAGCAAAGGATTAGTATAAATGTGTGCCCAGGGTTAATACAACTTTCAAACAAAACACAACTTGTCTTGAACTGATCTGTGAAAATAAAATCTCACAGGATCTGCAGTCCTAGCCCTGCTGACACTGGGATATTCTAAATTTTAAAGCCTGCAAATTCAGAACATCTTGGACCCTGAAAATCTGTGTAAATCTCCTGGCTGTAGGGTTGCTTTTTGTATGTTTGTTATCCTAAAGCTGTCCCTTTAGTGCTACAGCTACTTCAGTCCCACTAGTTCAGGGACTGTTCAGTAACCTGCTCTTTCCAATTTCTCTCTGCAAGTATATTTGGCATAGTCAAGTTTGAATATCCTTGTTTCTGTACTAGCAAAGTTTTCTTAGTACACACAATTTATCTGTAGAGAGGCTAAGTAAAGCTTTATCTAAATTCTCTCCACATTCTTTAATAATTTAGAGATGCTCTGTGCATTTTCAGATAAGTTATTCGGGTCATTTTGCAGCAATATGAAGTCAGCTCATCCAGTTGGTTGACCTAAGGTCAATGGCATAAAATCATTAACTTGAGGCCAGAGAGCTACATAAATCTGCGTTAGATTCTGCTGGCATTTTTTGACCTTTGTGAATTGTTTATTTTCATTTAAGTAACAGTTTGTAAATATTAACCATGCCCTGCTTTTACCTTCTTGATAAAATGTTTGGCTCAACTTAAGGAATTTTTCCTTATGTTCAGTTTTCTTTTTTCTTTTCTTGGAGTTTGAATGCATTCCTTATTTAATATTAAATAAATATGATTTTATACTCTGGATTTAGCTGATATATTTTTCTTGGCACCCTCCTTAAGTAACCTTCTTCAAAAGTCTGCTACATCTGAGGCTAAAGCTGGTTTAGAAAAAAGATTTCTTGACACTGAAAAAGTCAGCTATGGAATATTTTAAATCTCTGGAGGAAAATATCATGTTTAAGTGTAATTATATCTTTCTACACAGTAGCTGTGGTTTGTTTTTTCTTTTCTTTTCTTCTCTTCAAAATGCTAAGTCCTGTATTAAGCCTTTACTGTTTATACTAAAGCAAATTATGCATTCCTAACAAGGACATACACATGATGAAGAAGAACTGGTTTCATAGCTATTTAAATAATTTGTGGTGGTTGCCTGGCTGATTGATCATAACTTTATTTTTGTTGTATTACTTAGTGTAGGGCATGGAAGTCCTAGTTATGTACCAGGTCCCTGCTGAAGATTTCATAACATAAGTAATTCTAACAAGATTAATACTTATAAAAAAATTACCCAGTGGTCTTATTGACTAATATGGCATTATAGATTAACAGTAATCAGCATGTTCACAATGTTATTGTAATGATTCAATAATTCAGCAGTCTGTGATGCCGCTGTATTTTGACCCTTTTCAGTATGGTATGTTGTGGTATTCACAATCGGGTGTTTTTTGTTCTTTAGTATCACACATGGCTAATGAATCAAGGCCCTGCCCATGTGATATCGGAGACAGGTTTGACTATGGAGGCCGTGGGCAGGAAGTACAAGTGGAGCACATCAAGGCGTATGTTTGCAAAGCATCTGCCAGCACAGACAAAGCTGTGATTGTGATTCATGATATATTTGGATGGCAACTCCCAAACACCAGATACATAGCTGATATGCTTGCTGCTAATGGATACATGTAAGAAATATTGCTGTTTCAAAGTGTATTTTTAATAAGAAATTTTGTTGAACCAACGCTTTCCTTTTTTTATATAAGCCATGCAAACACAAATAATTTCATAGGCTTCCCTTACGTGTTTCTCTAAAGAGTTTCCTGTTAAAACAGTGTAAGAAGTCTAAAATAGCTGAGTAGTCATACTGTAATGAGATAGTAGGCAAGCTCAGAAGAAGAGAGGGGAAACAGAGAAACATCTTATTCAGCATCTTTCATTCTCCATGATCCCAAAGTAGCCTGCTTCCTCCCTCTCAATGCAGCATCTGTGCGACTTTGCTGTTACAGTAAAAATTCCAGAGAAGCTGAAAGTCATTCCTTCAAGGTAAAGTGTACCAGCTTGTGCCAAAGAAAGAAACAAGTTCTCAAATATGTGAAAAGCATACTTAGTATCCTCTTTCCTGTATTACTGGGTTAACACTCCTTCTAGTGCAAAGGTACATACCATGTAAATTGTAGTTGTTTTTTTTTTGTTTTGTTTTTTGTTTTTTTTGTTTTTTTTTAAATTCAGTAGGAAATCACTAAAGATTTTAAATTGCAGTTAACAATTTTTCAACTTAATTAATGAATTTTAACAGGGCAAAATGTATCTTGAAGTTATGATGTCTCCTTATTAGACATAAATAATAATGAGTGTTGTTTGTATAGTGCTTTGATGTAGATTAAATTCTGTGCGTATTCAACAAAAAGAATTTGCTGTATAGTACACACGGACTTCCCTTTAATCCTTTCTCAGTATTATTTCTTGGCCATAAAATGTTTTCATTTCTCTTGCAGAGCTATCTGCCCAGACTTTTTTGTGGGACAAGAGGCTTGGAAACTTTCTAATGACTGGGCATCTTTTGATGACTGGCTGAAAACCCGAAGTGCTGGCAAAATAGACAAGTACAACCATTGTTCCTTGTCCAACAAGTGGACATCCTTCTTTCATAGGAATTTTTTCCTCAATAAAGATGCAGGATTAGTTCTTAAATTATTAATGAATGAAATACAGCCAGATGTCCACAAACAGTAGTTTCATGCAGCTTGTAGGTCAAGCTTATAGTTACATGAGGGGTGCATTTTGGAGTAAAGTAGAACTTTGAACAAGAATAAAACCACCCACTATTTACCTGCGCAGAGTAGAAATGAGATGAATGACTCCAAAGAAAGAACTGGCAAAGGCTGGAAAATGCAGCTCCCTCCTTCCACTTCAGTTTGATTTAGATCCTACAGGCAGGCACAACTTCCATGGATTTCAGATGGGGTGCAAATGTAATCACCAAACATTATTTAACTAGAAAACATTGGTCCTGCTCCCCATCACATCCCAGCTCATTCAAAGCATACTACTTTCCCATTCTTCTAGCTCTGTTTTTCTGATTTTTTTATCTGGCACATAGCTTGATTGCATAATATTAGTTCTGAGTTTGAAATGACAATTTCAAATTTACTTCCACAATTTCATAAAATATTCGTCTCCCTGATGAGAGATAGTTTACCTATAGTCACATTTGTAATAATGGGGTGCTCTGGATTGGCTGTGTGTCTCTTAAACTTTCATTTTGTTAGCCTATAAAACAGCTATTGCCATTTGTGAAATGAATTGGACTGCTGCTGATAAAATCACCTTAGGTTCTAGTAATAGTGATCTTGGAAGACTGATTTTCTCCTTTGTCTTCTCTCCTGGAGTTTTTCTGTATTTTAGAAATGAATAATAGTGAACTAGTGTTGTGGGTTGACCCCACTCAGCAGCCAAGCACCTATACTGACACTCACTCACTCTTCCCAAGAGGGATAGGGGACAGAATAGGAGGAACAAAGCAAGAAAACTCATGGGTTAAGATAAAGACAGTTTGATAAGTGAAGGAAAGAGAAGAACCGGGAGTTATGCACAGTCAGTCACTCACCCCCTCCGCTGAGCAGAGTGATGCCCAGCGACTCTCTGAGCAGCAGCCACCTTGGAGGCCAGGGGAATAGAACTAGAGTCTTACTTCACTTTCATTTACATGTCTCAGAGAGGTTGATGTCATCTTGAAGTATCTGAGGGAACAGTGTGGTGCAAAGAAGATTGGTGTCATTGGGTTTTGCTGGGGTGGAGCAGCAGTACAACATCTGATGCTGAAAAATCCTCATTTAAAGACAGGGGTGTCCCTCTATGGTAAGTCTCAAATACCTACTATGTTCTGAGCAGACATGACCTATGCAGGAACTTATTCTGTAGGAGTATTACTGTAACAAAATTTGGCATGACATCTTATGGAAGAAGGTGATTTTATTATACAAAATCTTTAAGAAATTTGACTTTGTGCAAGTTTTGTACTTAATCATAACCACCGAGATCTATTGTATTCAAGTGGCATGGCCAGGAATGCTTGTACAAGGGACACCAAATGCCAAGGCTTCACTATGGCTCAGGTTCCTTTTGGCTAGCAATGACAAAATGGTTTCTGGGAACATCTTTTAGATATTTTAGGAGTCAGCAGTTACTGTGTGGTGGATCTTTGCCACAGTATATTGCTTATCTCTGTCTGCATAAGTCGGGACAGGTTTCTGCCGTCTGGTTTTCATTGGGAAACTTGTTTGACACACGTCTGTACTCCATTCCCCTGTTGGGCTAACAGGGAAAGACGTGACAGTGGTGATACACTGCAAACTTTCTGCTGTCCTGTTAGAGTGCAGGACCTTTTGCTGATGAGTCACCTGGGCTGGGGCATGCACAGGCTGCAGACCTTCAGGTCATGACTTGAATAACTTAGTTTTCAATGCTACTGCTGGCAGTGGTCTCTCATTACTAATATGAACCATTTTTAAACTCTCTGTTTTAACCCTTACACTCTCATACTTAAATTTTTAATGCATTTATGTTACCTTTAATATTTTTATTATTGTCCTGGTTTGAGTGGCAGGGGCCCTCTGAGCTCAAACCATGACAATTATAAACCTCTGTACTACATCACAGAATCATAGATTGCTTTGAGTTGGAAGGAACATTAAAGATCACCTAGTTCCAGCCCCCCTGTCATGGGCAGGGACACCTTCCACTGGATCAGGTTGCTCAAAGCCCCGTCCAACCTGGCCTGGAACACTGTCAGGGAGGGGGCAGCCACAACTGCTCTGGGCAGCATGTTCCAGTGTCTCACCACACTCACAGGAAAGAATTTCTTCCTTAGATCTAATCTAAATCTACTCTCTTTCAGTTTAAAACTGTTACCCCTTGTCCTGTCACTAGACTCCCTGATAAAGAATCCCACCCCTTCTTTCTTCTAGGCCCACTTAACCCAGAACAGTTTATATTCTTTTGAGGCAAAAGGATGTTGAAGGTATTTTTCCAGTAAGTTTATGGGGACTGTTGTGCTACACTCATTTGCGGATCAGCTGAGTCAATTCAACAATGCTACTTGCTAATGTTTTACTTTTACACTGTAGTAATTTCAGTAATGAAAGGAGTGGTCAGGGTGGTAGCTAGTTAGTTTTACTGTTACCTAAGTTCAAATATATTTGAATAGTCAAAACTACAATATCAATTTGTTATGAATTTATATCAGTATAATTATATGTACACTGAAACCCTAACCATGTGTCTGGAATGATGTATATTTATAATTATCTTAAAAATTGCCATGCCAGGCTAGAGGTGAGCTGCTCTGAAGTTCCATCTTTCACAGGGCCCTGTCTCTGACACTGGTCAGAAGCAGATGCCCAAAGAAAACCACAAGAATGGGGCAAATAACAATTCTTCCCTGACTTTTTCAGAGATGGTCTTTCTCTCTTTAATGACATCCCAAATCACAGGAAGTTCTCACAACAAAAGGGACTTTTAAGCAAAACATGCTTAATTCAATTACGAACTGATCAGAACGTCTTTTATTTTGACTGTGTAGCTTTGGTAGAGATTTAACCACCTTAAGTAGCATAACTCATTGTATATGCCTCTTTTTCCCTAGGAGTGATCAAGTTCTTTGAGGACAGATGCAGTTTGCTTCATCCCACCTTCTTCATTTTTGGTGAGAAGGATGACATCATCCCATTGGAGCAGGTGAGTTTACCATCAGAGATATTTGTCTTTTTAATGATTTTCATGCTTGTTTTGTGTTTTGATATGTAATTAAGAGAAAGTAGAAAACTTATTTGCATTTTTCTTCCTCTTTCACTAACTCTTACAGTAGTTCTACATAAATTTATGTTGTTTATGCCTGAATCAAGAAGTTTTACTGTGACACTAAAAATGTTTTCTCTTTCTGCTGCAACATGTATATATGAGAGTTGTTAGGAGGAAAAGAGCAAGAATCCAAAGAAAGTCTTCTGTCAAATTTAAGATAGGAGACCCTCTTTAGTTAAACTGATGGTGCGTAAAATCAGCAAAAAGTTGCCACCTGTACCAGTGGAATCACTAGTTTCAGGAGAATGAAAAAAATCCTGTGACCATCCTTTTCGTTCCCCCATTGTCCTGCAGACCCTCTCCTTTTTGGTACTCCCTCAACAGCCTTCCTGGGGAGCACAGGTGGAGAATGACCAGAGAAAGATGATTATCTACCAAGGGGATCAAAGAGGAAGATACGCTTTCTTTGAGTGGTGTTGGCTTTAATTTTCCTGGCAAAAATGCCAGTAGCTTTGAACTGTTGATTTTGCATCTGTGCCTCTCCTCCTTCAATTTCAAATTAATTCAAAATCTTGCCCCATATTTTTTTTTTTTGGTGAGTTTTATCAGCAGTAACTTGTACAATGATCACTACATGTTAACCTTCTCATGACACTGAGCAACAGGTGTTTTTACCTTTATAGGTATTATTACAGTAACCCATATACTATTTTGTAGTTTATATCGTCACATGCTGTTATTTTACTGGAGAAAAAAGTCTAATTAAATAAAGAAAGTGTAGTGATAGAAATGCATTTGGGTATGAAATTAGTAGAAAAGCAAATGATGACAAGGGCATACTGTGTCTGTCTCCCAGATAAGCAGAAAACCAGGACAATTTGAGGACTGTAAATATATAACATGTTAACACTTAACCAACATGGAACATTATGTGTTATAGGTCACCCTGTTGGAGCAGAAGCTTAAACAAAACTGTAAAGTGGATTATGAAGTTAAAGTTTACCCTGGACAGACGCATGGGTTTGTACATCGCAAAAGAGAAGATATCAATCCTCAAGATAAACCTTTTATTGAGGAGGGAAGAAAGGATATGATCAACTGGCTGAATAAATATCTTTAGCATAAATAAGTGCCCATAAAATAAATAATCGTATGAAATCAGAAAATAATACAGACTATATTGATTAAAATGTTCTTAAAACCATCAAAATATTTGTAAAACTCTTTTGCAATAAAACTACTTATTTGCACTTATTTTCTTAGTAGATGGCTTTTCTTAGAAATGGCTTTTCAAATGCTGAAAGATATAAATCTAAAAAAGATTTTTCAACTTGATCCTGTGTGTATTAAAATTGTTAGAACCTGATGGGATATTTTCTAGAATCTGAAAGTTTCACTTTTATATATCAATATATGTGTATATATATATATATATATATATAAAAAATATATATATATATATATAAAATATATATATATATATAAAATATATATATATAT